AAAGTAAGAAATAACTTAATCCTTTCTCTAATTTTAATTTACTAGAAAAAGCTTTATACATTTCAGCTATTTTCAACATCAATGTCTGGAAAATTAAAAATCTGGCGACCTAGATGTGATAGATTGAAACCGCGATACGTATTTCCAGACAATTATAGCAACCGACAAAACATTATGTTCTGGGGTTGCATGACCAGTTATGGAGTAATGGTATTACAAGAGGTGTCGTCAAGAATGAATGCTGAAGAATACGTCGACGTCCTTGAAGAAGTAATGTTGCCTGCTGCAAGAGAGGTTTATCCAGAAGAAGATTATCGAATTCTCCCGTTTGTGCAAGATAACAGTGCAGTACATACAGCAAGGATAGTTACAAATTGGTTTGACAGACATCCTGAAATTCTTCTCCTGCCTCATCCTGCAAAATCCCCAGATCTGAATCCTATTGAAAACATCTGGAGTAATTCAATAATATTATTCTAATTCTATAAACTTATTTTAATAAAAAATTTTATCTAGGTTACATGAGTCTGAAATGGAGAACAGGACAGCTCCCAAGAACGAGAGACGATCTCCGAATACATGTCCAACAAGTTTGGACCAGAGTTCAGCAACGTCCTGATATCACAGTAAATTTATCCAACTCCATGCATAAACGATTGCAGGATGTTATCATAAACAATGGCTATTGGATAAAATATTAACTAGAGATCATAAGGCTGGAACAGCAATATAGTTAATACCTGAGAATATTCCAAGAACTAATTCTTGATGTATTGGATGGGTTCTAACAATTTTTCCATAAATTCTGATAAGTGGCACAATTAAATTAATTTATGCCTAGTTAGTACATCTACAAGACTCACACGACATTGTTCATCATTTTTTTAATAACAATATCTTTGTCAAAATTACAATCTACTTGGCATAGATATATAAATTCTGTAATATTATTCAGTAATTGTCGTTGATAATATTTCTCAATATTCTCAAAAGAAACAGTAAGAGTATTCTCATCTGGAGTTGCAAATCCTTAGTAGCTTCCAAGTATTTTATTTCATTATCTTATTTCAATTATTTAAGAAAATTTTTTTTAAATATTTAAATTATTTAAGAAATTTTTATTTCTTTCATATCTGAACATAAAATTCGTTTGGTGATTATTATTGATTAAAAAAAAATGTTTAAACTTTAGTTTTAATTATCACGTTTTTCTTTTGTTCATTTAAACAAAAAAAGAATAAAAATTATAAAAACAAAGAAAAATCGATTTATAGATTTTTAATTCATTATACTAAATCACTTTTGGAAGTGAAATTGATAAAAAATACGTTAATTGCACAATTATTTCGAAAAATATTTAAAAATGTGGACAAGAAATATGATGAAGAAGTTGATTATGCTTCGAATGTATCGGTATCGATACATGTTTAAAAAGGAAGGATTGTTGCAGGTTTTCAATATTTATTTGCACAACATGAAAGTATGGCAGTAAGTTTTTTATAAATATTATACTTAACACTAATTCAATATTAAGATATCTTATTATAATAGTAGTGCGTCAAATACGGTTACTGTATTGTTTTCATCTGAAAATAATTTTTTTTTCATTTTTTAAAAAAATCATTTAAGAAAAGAACATTCTTTATAAGACACCTTAATAAATATTTATCAGATTAAATTTGTTGTAGAATGATTGCAAATGATATTGGCGTTAAAGAGATTAATTGCATTGACTGCTATTTAAAATATTGTGAACTGATGCTTGAATTTGAGGTAAGTAAAAATTTTTTTTTTTTTATTCAATTTTAATAGTAAAAAATTTTTACAGCGACAAAGACGATTATACAAAATTGGAAAATTAAGATCGAAAGGAAAACTTTTCGATTATATCATCAAGTTTTACTTATAATTTTAATCCTGAAAAGCAAGTCTTCAATGTATAAATGTCTAGTGATAGACATATATATGTTTGCAATGTCTAGTGATAAAAAAGATCCACAATTACATAATTTATCTCGTTAAATATATTTATATTATATATTTATATATATAAGGAATTCAGATATAAATTGTAGAGTTCAAAATTAATGAATTGTTATTGTAAAGACCGTTAACAGTATATTATGCAGTGAAGTGAATATTTATTGTTACTTTTTCAGTAAACATAGTTAATAGTTTGTCTTCGATTCACTTAATAGAACTGCTTATTTATTAAATATCTTTGTATAAATAATTAAATAAAAAATTTTCTTATCATATCATTGCAAATACGTATGATATTTTTCTCAAAAAAGAATTAGATCTTTTTAAGAATGAGAATGTACTATGTTTCAAATATTAATAAAAATAAGAATAAAAATAAAAAGTATTTTTTGTGATTATCATTAACATTTATTAATATGTATATTGAAAAATAACAAAAATAATGAATTGTTATGACTGAAGTCATAACATTTTTTATAATTATAATAAATGTAACATTTAAATTCACTGAAGATACACTGTTTATTATTTATAAACAAAAATGAATTCTGTTTCATTTCTGCTTCTGAAAGAGAGTGAAGGAATAATGTTACCTAAAAAAAATAAAAAAACTAAAAATAAGTGATGACATTTCTGTGATTACGTTTCTGTGATTAAGAATTTTCCTCGATCTTTGTAAATATGTTTTGAAGCTTCTTTGACACCATCTAAAACTCCTGTACCAGATACTGGATGAATAGTTACCAAATCCGCCCACTCCGAGATTTTATACAATCCTTTAGAATATTGCAGAGCTACTGTGTTACGGATATCTCAAAATTTTTAGTCTTCCATGATCAAAAATTTATGTTTTAATGCTTCATAAAAATCATCAATTATGTCTACGTGGATTTTTAAAATAACAATGTGGGGTCCAGCAAGTTCAGCTAATTCTAAAATATCATTAGTTTTTGTCATGTCAGCTGCTAATCAAAGATTTGTTTTTTTTTTTCCCATGAGCTCGAAAAGATTGGCAGCCAGCTGATTCATAGTAAGCTTTGATCTAGATGCATAATCCATTATCAAACGATTATGTGATGATTCTGTAAACATATTAAATATTTAAAAATCAATCATTCATTTTTATGAATGTTTTAAAATTTATATTAATTTTTACCTTTATTCAATGTTATCAATGTCGCTGAATATTCTTTTATGTATTGAGAAACATTTTTAATCGTTTCTAAAGTAATTTTAACAGCTTCAAAAAGATACTTCATTAACTTGGTAAGAGTATACAAACTTCTTACTTTAATACCAGCATTTTCTATATTTTTTTTGCCACTTTGTTCTCGGTCTATAATTACTAATGCTTTAGTAACGTTCAAACCTTCTGGAGTTAAGTCTTTTCTAAAATACTACTTCCACTGATAATAACATCTTCGATAATAACACAATTATCTCCTTTTTTGTATTCACCTTTAATCATTTTTTTTGTACTATAACTTTTTGCTTCTTTTTTCTTATTATCATTGGAATGTACCACATAATTGATCAATTTTTTGACTACTATCGCTTAATTTCCAAAGAGTACTTGAAAGCCGGCTCTAAAATTGAGATAAATCATAATAAAATATAATTGATATCAATTATATTTTAATTACATTATAACCTGTAATATTAAATTAAATTTAAATTTGATAATTACTTACAAAAATCTTTAGATATCCTATGATAACTCGCCTCTCGAATACATGTCAACACGAGTTATGTTTACATTTATAAAATTGACACTGTACACTGTTTATTATTTATAAACAAAAATGTTTGTTAGCTGTCAAAAATGAGGGGAAATAATTAAAATTAGGGGAAATAAGATGTTTTGGAGTAGGAAAATTTATTTTTAAGAGGGGGCAGGGCCGGAGGAGAATTTAGTCATAGAATATTTGAAAAATAATAGATGGAATAATTCATATAAAAAAAAAACCGTCTCGGTCGGTAATTTCTCCCATGGTAATGGGAAGGCATTAATGAACACGAGTGTACGTTAACATTAAGATAAAAATGTTATTGTCATTAGATTATAAGCCTAAACATCCTTATTTATGTAGTAGGAATTACATGACATTACATGAGCCAGAAAGAAGACTTTTCTTTGTATAAGCATTTTGAATTTTTAATTGAAAACAGTGCAATTACTGTCATCTATCAGAAAACAGTGACACTAGTTGAATTTTTTTCTACTATACCGCCGCTAGATAATTTACCGGTCCTAATTTCTTAAGTTGACTGTTCAACGGAATGATAAATATTAAAAAAAGGAACATTTTTATAATTTGATTGAATATTAAATGATTGAAATTAAAAAAAACCAATTTTAAAAGATTAAAAGAATAAAGCTTATTTTTAAAATGATCATTAGATAAAAAATCTGGGCATCATAGAATTTGATTGACAATCAGTAAGATTATACATTTAAAGATTTAAATTTTAAAAATTTTAAAAATGCCTTTGACTGACATCTTATTGGGGACGGATGTCACGCTCCCTATGGCACCCTCAATCTGACAACAAAAAAAAACTTTTCTAGTTCTTGCGTAAGTTCGCCGTCCCCTCAATTTCAATTGAAATCGAGCTTCGGCCTTCTGCCTCCCAACGCGAGGGCGCAAAGTCAACTTCGGAACTTTTCTCCGATATAGCCCAGCCTTAAGTCTGAAGCCGAGTGTATGTACTATATCAGAGAAAATAGACCTGCATGGAAGTTCAATGCTGTGTTCTGTTTAGGGATCACCCCAGGCCACCCCAACCGTGTTAAACTCCTACATATCTGGCTCCATAAGAACCCATACTACATTTCTGGAACACATCGGCCCATTTGAAATAAATTTCTATTCACGTCTCTCTTCTCTGGTACTACAGTACCGGACATAAATGCTGTTTAATTTTTTGAAGGTTATACATGCAATTTCCTTGTACTGTCCTATAGAAAATCACACAGCATTTATGTCCAGTACTGTATCTTCAATGTGCTGTCTAAAATGGATATATTCCCTCTTGTTGAAATTAAACTTGTCCTTTCTAACCCTACTAAAAATATTGTAACTGCAATTTGTAATTTTCTAAAAGCTTCAAAGATTATTATTATTTAATTCGTTATCTATTCAATAATTTATTACTTTTTTAATTTTCTATTATAATATCTCTGTGTACGGCTGTATGGAACTGTAAAGTTTCGATGCAAATAAAGTTTATCATTATTCTATGCATATATCCCCGAGTAAACATTCTCGGGCTGTGGAGGAGAGAAATTTTGATCAGTGTTGTACCATTGCTCTTTTATTGACATAAACTGAGGATTGGTTTTACGTACAGTCACGTGGACAATGCTCGTGCGTGGAGATGTCGATGGGTCATGGATGCGATGTTCAAGGCAGTTTTGATATTTTCAATTGAGAATTTAGAAAATTTTCAAATTCTAATAATCCAATTTTTGTCATTGATCCAATCAATAACGTAGAAAAAGTTATTTTTTAACTTAAATACAATTCTAATAATAATGCGTGCCATAAAGAATTAGAAATATTCTTATCAATTTTATCCAAATGTATGTTTTTCTATTTTTTAAATAATTCTACGAATAATTAATATTTTTTGAACTAAGGAACGTTCGAGTTATCTTGAGGTCGTATGACGTTGAACAACAATCTGTTGAATGATTTGTTTTTTTGCTTTACAATTTTTTATCTTTCAAGTGACGATAAGTATATCTGCAGTGTAGACCTAATGCAAATGAACATTAATTCACGAATTTTAGTTTATTGGATTGCTTGATAAAAGATGGATTATTTCCTTGGAGTAGATGTTGGCACAGGAAGCGTTCGTGGTGCTTTATTTGATGCCAATGGAAAGCTTATAAAAATTGCTACTAATCCTATTGAAACATTTAACAGCATTCCAGACTATTATGAACAGTCTTCTGAAGACATTTGGGAATCTGTGAAAAGAGTAGTCAAGGTAATATATTTCTTTTATTTTTCAAATTTAATGAATTTAAATTAATGTATGCGTATTGCAGAATGTGACTAATGACGTTAAAAAAGAGTTTATAAAAGGTATAGGATTTGATGCTACATGTTCTTTAGTTCTTTTAGATGAATCTGGCCAACCAGTAACTGCAAGTGTAACTGGCTAGTATTTATTTGATCTTATCAATATTTAAACAAGAAAAAATTATCATCCGTCATTTATTTATTATTATAGGAGATGATAAACGTAATGTCATTCTTTGGTTGGACCATAGAGCAGAAGCTGAAGCTAATTTTATCAATATGATGGGTCATAATATACTTAAATATGTTGGTGGAAAGATATCTCTAGAAATGGAAATACCAAAGATTCTTTGGTTGAAAAAAAATCTTCCTAAGTCTTGGAGTAAATCTCAATTATTATTCGATTTGCCAGATTTTTTAACATGGAAAGCAACCGGTTCTGAATCTCGGTAAAAAATTATTTTTATTTGCATTATTAGCAATGTCATTCATAATTTATTTAAACATCGATTTAATATTGTATTCGATAGATCTTTATGCTCGCTTGTATGCAAATGGAATTATACAGCAAAACCAGATGGAAAAAATAACTGGTGTGAGGAATTTTTTAATCAAATTGGACTAGCCTCATTAAAAGATAATAACTGGAAAAGAATAGGTAAAATATAATTAGTTAAATTATTATGAAAAAATCATAACAAAATTTTTTATAAATTACTATCTCATAGGTAATGAAGTAAAAGCACCTGGAGAGCCTGTGGGAAAAGGTCTTTCCGTAAAAGCAGCTGCAGAATTAGGACTTAATGAAGGGACACCAGTAGGAACATCGATTATTGATGCTCACGCAGGAGGTCTTGGTATGATAGGCTGTTCTGCACCTGAAATAAGTAATAATTTTACCAGTCGACTTAGTCTTATATGTGGAACATCTACTTGTCACATGGCTATATCCACTAAACCAATTTTCGTTAATGGTGTTTGGGGTCCTTATTATAGTGCAATGGTTCCTTCATTATGGCTCAACGAAGGAGGTCAGAGTGCAACTGGAAAGCTTCTTGATCATGTGATAGATTCACATCCAGCATCTTCAAGCATAAAAAATAAAATCTATGGAAAAATGTAAGTTTCATTGTTAATTATTCAATAAAAAGTAATGAAGTTATAAATAAATATTAATCAATTGATGACATTATTCATTTAGGCATATTCAACAGTATCTCTCAAATCGCTTACAATTAATGACTGAACGTAATAATTTTCCTGATGTTTCATATTTAACACAAGATTTTCACGTTTGGCCTGACTTCCATGGTAATCGTTCCCCTTTAGCTGATCCTACTTTACAAGGAATGATTTCAGGACTATCACTTTCATCTGATGAGGAATCACTAGCTGTTCTTTATCTTGCAACGATGCAAGCTCTGACTGTAAATATTATTAAATATTTTATTATATTTCTTTTTTTAAATATATTTTTATACGATTAATTGTTTACTGTTTTAGTATGGGACAAAACATATTCTAGATGCTCTGATTCTTGCAGGACATAGAATAGAATCAATTTTGATATGTGGAGGTCTCAGTCAGAATTCTTTATTCGTACAAACGCAAGCTGACGTTTTAGGTTTGCCTGTATTAATCCCTCAAGAAAAAGAGTCTGTTTTATTAGGAGCAGCAATTCTTGGATGTTGTGCAGCTGTATCGTTTTCTTCAGTTAGTAAAGCCATCAGATACATGGCTGGAAATGCTAATGTCATTAAGCCTAAAGCTATATCTCATCAGTAAGTAGACAAAAAACGAGTTGAAAAAAACTTTTATATTGTTAATAAAATATTATATAATTATTGTTTTCAATTTTGTTAAAGGTATCATTGTCGAAAATACAAAGTTTTTCAAAAAATGGTTCAAGATCAGAAAGAATACAAAAAGATGATGAATCAAGAAGTTTAGATGTAATATTTATTACATAAAATTTCTTAACGAAAAAGACCTCACGAAAGTAAAGAGATAACGAATAATTTTTTTAAACATTTCACATTCAAATAATAAATCTATTCTCATGATAAGTAATCATGATTTATGGACGAAATTTTCTTTAATGAAACGCGTTTTTGATACCTAAAAATTTATATTTTTATTTATTATATAATGATAATTAAATTAAATCCATAACAATATTGGATGTAGCACAATTCTTATTTATCATGGAAAACAAACGTGACTAATCAGATCAGGTTTGATTTATGTACGTGCGTCATTCATTTATTCATTCAGTTATGAAAGATATATATTAAGCGATCCAAAATAACAACTTTCATTCTGTCTATGTTTTACTTAACTTGATATGTTCTAGTATATTTTATTCTTAAGATAATTATGAAAATTCATAAAGAAACTCTTATTCTTAGTGCAGTTTTGAATTGTTTTATATTTTCGCTTGAAGATGAAAAAGTGAGTATTTGGATTTCACTTTGTATAGCTGAATTTTCTATATATGTAATTTAATAGTTTTCAGGAATTCGAGAAATCACTGCTACAAAAATATTCTTCTATTCAGATAACGACGACGATTTGAATAGTTTATCTCCAATTCAAGCAATTTTACTATTTTATAAAGAAGGAAAAGAAGTGAATGAAATCAAAGTTGGTGATCAACTTCAACTTAAAATAAAGGTGCGAGCTAGTGAAGAATTCGATGAGGGTAAAATGGTACGTTGTTTTATCAGGAGTGACATGCTTCCTGCGAAAGAGAAGAATATAATTTATGATGGGTGTCATCCAAATAAAAATTTCATTCAAAATTGGTCATGGAGTAAAAAATTCCAAAATTTTATAGCTGATTTTTCAATTGTTCCATTATTTTCTCGCGACGTGAAAAATATTAATGTAACTATGTCATGTTATGCTATTGTTTGTCTTCACAACTGTCCTGAAATAATAGATGACTATTGCATTAAACTGTAAAACTTCCTAATTTCATATATAGTAATTTTTTATATTTTCCTCCTATAAAGTGATGATGATTATTATTCATTCATATTTAAACATATTCTTTATGAAGTAAATATATAAATAAAACAATAAATTATGTTAGAGAAAAGAGCTGTGAATAGAAGTTTATTTCAAATGGGCCGAGGTGTCTCGAAAATTTAGTAGTATCTATTCTTATGGAGCTATGTAGAAGTCCAACACGGTTGCGGTAGCTATTGGGGTGATTCCACACAGCATTGAACTTTTATATACACTCGGCTTCATTAACTCTAACGGTAGAGACCAAAGTCCATTTAAAAATGTATTTTAAACTAAACTCCTGGCAAATCCCTGCTTAAAGAATCCTATTGAACATTTTCGTTTTTTGTTTTTCCTATAGAAATCGCTTGAATCCTATTGAGTTGTCCTATTGAGGTACGCTGAATCCTATTTAACTTCCCAATATGATTTGATACTATTCAGTGGAAATACTGTTGTCTCAGAATTTCCTATAGAATGATGCAGAATCCTATTCGATTCTTCAATAGAATTTTAGTAAATTTAATAGCACCTGTGAGATTACAATTTCCCCATCGAAAAGAGGCAATTCCTTTTCGATGCTTTAATAAGATTTGATATAATTCAATAGGAATATTGTTGTCTCCGAATTTCCTATAAAATTAAGGGTAAACCTATTCGACGTTTCAATAGGATCTTATTACCACAAAAAAAAATTCTTTTAAACAAAAGGAAATTTTAATTCGCTTTAGAAGGTTCTTTGTTTACACGAATTTGTTGTTTTAATATACACCTGGAATAAAATTTATTAGAAACATTGTCCGAAAAAATCCTGCTGATGATGAGATTCGATCCTGGCATCCTCGGGTCCACAGTCCAATACGCTGCCGACTGCGCTATTCTAAAACATGGAAACATGACTTTCGCCTAATCAATGTCCCATGGTAGGATTTTATAGTATTTAAAAAGAGAACATTAAAAAAGTTCTAGAGAAAATTAACAGATTCGAAAAGGACACACATCTTAGAAATTATTAACTTCCCAGTGGGAAGTTATAGTAATAGGTTCGATTTTGCGAATCCCGAATTTTGATATATCTTCACGTTTTAAGGTCCCCAGAGTCGAATACGATCGTTTTCCAGTGGACGTCTGTATGTACGTATGTGCGTGTGTACGTATGTGCGTTCGGAATTATTTTTCGCCTCGATTATCTCGAGAACGAAAAATGATATCGATGGGGGACCAATTGCATTCGACGCGTAATTATGTAACTCAAAATTGATTAGATTTTCAGCAAAATCGGTCGAGCCATTTTTTTTGCAGAACCAAAAAACTAGAAAAAATGGAAAATGACCTGAATTTCTCAATTTAAAAATTATACCATTTTTTAGACAAAATTTCAAAATCTTTTAAGAAATATGAATATTAAATTATTAGAATACTTGTATGAAAATATGGTGACAATATTTCATCGAAAAAAAAATTTTGAAAAACAAAATCAGCAATGAAAGAATTTTCAACTCGTGTTAGGATTGAGAAAACAGCATTAAAGACGCTATAATAGTCAATAATAATTGTCAATAATATGGAGTTGTGTTCATAACAATTGAACATTGTCACTAACAAGTGATTATTGATCATAGTAATATTTAAATAATAAGTTTTAAATTGTTATAAACAATTCCATTTGTTATAAAAAATGAAAACAGGTTTTATTCGAGGTGTTTTTTCATTTTTTCCCCTGGGAAGTTAGTCGTGTGGACCTTTCGGGTCGCAACGAGATCACTGCAGAGCACTGATATTAAATAGCTAATTTTGTTATCTATTCATTAGTTTTATTGTTATAAAAAAAACAGCTCGACTGAATCTGTTTAAATTCCTTCCAGATCTTCTTTATAATAATATCTTCCGAGTAAATTTTGGTTAGAGTTGATTTCTCGATCCGTTCTTAAGATATCAGAAACGGAAAATTTATAATCAATAAAAAGAATTTCATATATTCAAGAAACTTAAAGACAAAAATCAAAACATAGTCTATGCATTCCTTTAAACTATTTCATCATGAGCTCAGCCTATTCAGGAAAATTCAAAATAAAAAATGCAAAGCAAGATAATAAAATGAAATTCAATCCATACTTATTAGTAATGAGTTACTTCCCTAGTAACCAAGATCTATCGTTAGAATTGTCGACAGACTTGGGTACTAGGGTTATTAAATACTTGTTTTTAATTTTTGGAGTTTATAGTAATAATCTCGTGTATTTGTGTCATTTATCAACAAAAGTTGCTACGACAGGAGACGGCGCAAAGTTGCATAAAACTAGGGTAGTAATTTTTTGTTGGTAGGTTGGTTGCCCTGTAGCCATGTATCAAAGAATAGCGAAAAGGAGCTCAGTGTAAAAAACCGCTACGTAATAAGGTTAGTTCTTTGTTGGCACAAATAGATAGCACTGAATGTTAAATATTAAATTTCAATTAAATAAAGTGGCAAACAAACAATAAATAATAATTAAAACGTAAATTAATTAATATAAGCATTTTTTTTATCTATCTATGTTTTCATATAAAAAATCTTTCAAATACATGTAATGTGTATGTAACCTTGTTCTGACTTGGTCTGAGGTACTCTACCGACAGCCCAACATTTTTCTCCCTACCGAATAATTAGATGACTCAAGGTCTCTCCTGCCAACTCATTTTCGCCAATTAGACAACTCTAAGTAATTCCTCGGCGTATATATCCCTTCTCTAAGGGCCTAGAAGCTTCGAGAACACAGAGGTTTCGGGAAAAACGGTCTGTATTAGTCTGTATTTGCCGGTTACTGCGAGTATTCGTACGTAGCTCGTACTCGGACGACTCTTGGGCATCATCGGACGATGCCAACCCACAGACAACTCGTTGCAACAGTCAACTCGGTACGTGTGTACTGGCAGAGAGCTCACGCAGTCGAACTGTCTAGTGAAAACCCAGACAACTCCTCAGACATGGACTTACTCACCAGTTCATCATCTATAATGATGATTATGAACTCATCAGGCAGTCTACCTCTTAGAAGACATCTTCAGGAAGCTCATGTTGGTCCGCATCAGCACTTTCTTACAAAAGGCGCGAATGATGTCGGCTTAGACGCCTCACAGCCTCATGGACAGTCACACACATAAGATCCATCAGAACAACTCGCTTGTGTCTGTGTGACTGACGCCAACACATTGAAAATCAGACGACTCCTGGTACAGAGACCAGTACAGGAAAACTTACAACTTTTCTGTGATATTCTACTCATCAGTGAACTCTCTATGTGAAATTTAAGTGAACTCAATACTGTACAGACAATTCGAAGACTTTGTTTTTCAGTGAACTCATCTTATATAATTATCAGACAGACTCTCGTCTCGTTATTTTTCTGTTACTGTTACTTTTGTGGTCAATAAATCGTTATTTGTTACTGTTAAATAATGTCAGCTGATTCATTTACACCGTTCAAAAGTACCGACTGTTCTAGCATCCAAACATCCTAAAAAATACAGTCCACAAAGTCCCGACTTCTCACTCAGCCGACTCAAAGTCAGAAAAAACCTAAAAATTTTATTAATATCGTCATGCTATGATATCGTCAACTTTATTATTGCTGCTTTAAAACAATATCATCGAGGTAAATCTAATTTAAAATAAAACAATGTTCATGTACTTTGAATATTTTCATAAATAAAAAATTTATTGACTATAGTTTTAGCTAATAAGCTGTCTAATTTGTTTAATTTACTATTATCAGTGATAATAGAAATTATTGATTTGAAAATTTTTATAGTGAATAATGTATAATTTCACCATTTTAAATATTTTAAGCTTCAAGCATTATCCATAAATTTTGTTGAAGGTATTCAAGGTATCCGAGGACAATTAGAGAGTATAAACTGTACTGGACATGGTGACATTGGAACAATATACTGACTATTAGCAATATGTGGAAATGATGTAGGTGTTGGTTTTATTCGAGCATCATTAAAATGATTAGATTTACCTTATAATAGTGTTGGAAGACTTAATAAATCATTGGGATTAGCATCGTGGCTCGAAGCTCTTGAGATAAGTTACAATCAAATTAATGTTGCTACAGAAGTAGGCTACCCTTCAAATTCAACACATGTTAATTTACTCATTAATAAAGTGTTTCTAACTGTAGATCATTACTTCCAATTTATAATTGGATTAATAATTATTGTTATATATATATATATAAAATTTCAAAAATAATCAGTGACACGATAATCAATGTAACATCTTATCAACCTTCTGTAACTGAAGATCAACTTTCTTTCGACAACGACAGCACTACCAAATATTTCAATAGAAAAGAAAGCTATCCGATAATTAATAAATTCAACCAGACTATAACCATGCAAGCTCGGAGAAATTATTTGCATGATCATACCCTGATTGAACAATCCCATAGAAACCGATAAAAAAAAAACTTATGAGAATGAATCTGAAAATTGCATCAGAAATTGAACTTGTTTTACGAGAATCTATAAGGAAATTTCTTACTGTTGAGAGAGGTTAATCGCAACCTGTCAGCTGAACTCGCTCTCGTCCCAGCTCTTGCTCAGTCGAGCCCACCCGATCCGCTCGCCCTATCCTAGCTCTTTCTTTCAGCGCTTATCTAATTACAGCTCGTCTTCTCCAACCTAGCCAATGGTAGGTGTCCTATTATTGTGCTAGGTCTACAGACGCCGGCTACAACGTGTTTGCAGCCATTAACGCTTACTCGACGCTCTAGTACACATGCTCTTTCTACCGCTCTGTCTATTTTCTCATTAAATCATTGCTCTAAGCTCTGCTCAGCTCTACTAGTATTCATGATTCATTGTTAACGTGATTAATAATTTATTTTTTATAACAAAAGTATAAGAAAGCTCAATAAAAGTGTCTTTTGTGTGTGTCTACCTCTTCTGACCACATCCTACGGCATAACTCATCTGTTGTCCATCTTTTGGATCTAAATAATTAAAATAAATTAACTCAAGCAACAATTTTCGGTTCTCGTAAAACACTTACAGATTCTTATACGGAAATTCGCATTTCTGATGCATTTCTCAAATTCAATCCCATACTGTGAAGTGTTGGGCTCGACCAACAGCAATATACTAGCTTCAGATATGTCTTGGGCTTCCAAATGATTTTACCAACTAACGCCCTCGATTGGAGTTTCAGCCCTCCAACGCCAGGCGAAGCAGCATCAAGAAATTGAGCGGGAGAAATGCATGCAGAAGAGGGGATAACCGAAGCCACGAAGATCCCGGCCGGCACGACCGACACCACTCAGCCCAGAGGCTTCCTATAGACAACTAGGCATCTAAAGTAGTTGCTCTGCCGTTTACGTTGTTCTATAAATTTATAAAGTCAATTGTGGTCATATTAGTGCACTCAGACAGATTGTCATAGTTACGAAAAGTCAAGTCATTCAAGACTATTGTCAGCACTGTTTGTCTGGCAGAAGATTGTGAATTCAACGACAGAAAGAGACAGCCCGTAGTCCGGAGATAAATCGGAAGTTCCAGAGACAAGAGACATAAGGAGCAGTCACTAATCGACGACGTGGTCCAGATTTTCAGACGTCCAGAGATCGCAGTATTGTACCCGGTGGCCAGTATTGTTTTCCAAGAAGTCAACGAATCAAGTCATGTAAGTCCAGCCAGTTGCTTTGTACGACTGAGGGTGATTGACTTAGACTAAAGGGTGGCTATTATTGACACAATTGCACTAATTTCTCGGGCTGTAGTAATATGGATTTTTCGTACCTTAAATGGTTTTCTTTGCCTGTATTGATGGGAAAATTATGTATTAAATGATTATTCATATTATTATGATAATCGAGGTGGTGCCGTACCTTAAATGGTTTTCTTTATGTTATTTATGAATGAATCTATGTAATTCTCATTACTATTGCTAATATTGCAAATGCTATAATTGTATGAAGTCGAATAATTATTATAAAAGTCGTCGTTATAGTCGATGCATATTAATATATCTTATAGAAGTCATAAATGCTTCAATTTTAATTAAAAATACGAGTCTTTGATCACATAAATGTAATATGATTATTATTGTATTTTATATCGAGACATTTATTATATAAAAAGTCAAGTTCATGTTAAATTATTGTCACTTGAGAGTCAATTAATCATATTCCAAGAAAGTCCTATCTTAATAGATTAAACTCTGTTTTATTGTAATTAATTAATCTATTTATTTACGAGGAACCTAACAGTTAATATTATTTTCCCTGAAAAACATTCATTTATTGTTCAAGCAGATAATTTAATTCATTTGAAGTCTTTTAGTCGTTTTGATAAACTTGGACTGCTCTCATAATTTAAAAATTATATAGAAAAAGATGTTAGGATAGTTGGTGACCTTTAGAGTCATCCATCTAATACAGGTGAGAAAGATCGCCCTCATAAAAAATAAGCATCTCCACCTCACCGCATATCAATACATCCTTTTTTTTTTCACTTTTTGTAAGAATTTATTCAAATCTGACGGACAGGTATATCAAATCCTATAGGAATTAATGAGAATACTAAATATATTTTAAAATTATATTTATATTTGTAGAACTTAATGTTTTACATTTTTTTACAGAACTTCTCTACTTTTTATTCAATACTGTTAGAACCTTAATGGATAACAATTTATTCTCAAAATTTTTTTTAATTACTTTTTGAAAATATTGAAATATCTGTTATTCTTCTTCTTTCTCGTCTTCGGTGTCTGTGTTCGTACAGTGATTTTCATCTTCTTCATTCGCGTCATTTTCTGCATCATTATTATTCCTCATATCTGTTTCTTCATTATCGTGATACTTCTCTATGTCATTTCTGTGCATTTTTCCGATAGGTTCTTCTCCTTCTTCGACTATATCTTTCCCTTTGACTCTATTTTTCTCTTCGACTATATTTTCTTCTTTTACTATGTTTTTTTCTTCTACCTTATTCTCTTTATCTACTATATTTTTTCCTGTATTTTTTTTATTTTCTCCAGCCGTACTTTCTTGTTCTTCAGTTATTTTATTTTTCTTTTCTTCTTTTTTCGAATCCGATATGAGAGATGAAATTACAGTTCTTACGTTTCCCAAGACAGCATCTTTTTTAAATTGTGACATGTCCTTATGGCGTTTATTTAAATAATATTCCAATGTATCTTCAAAAAATAGAATTGTAAACTTAAATTATAACATACGAAGTATAGATGTAATGTACTTTTTATGTATTTTTCAAAATACTCACCTCTTATTGCATGTAGTCTGATCGATGATAATCCTTGGACAGGTTCATTAATTTAATTTTTTCTTTTTTTTTTTATTAGTCGGGTTTCCTAAAACCGTGCTCCTCAGCGGTAAGGATGTCGAAAATAAAGCTCTACATAAATCTCTAATGACAATAGTTGGAGAGGAATGTCCCATCACCATGTAAAATGTGTCTGCGTCAATCCATATATCATGTCCAATGTGGACTGTTGAGTATTCAGTGTTTTCAAAGCCGATTGGTGGAAAAGCTGATGTATTCGGAAGTTGTGCATTATTTTTGTATTTTTTGAACGATTCTGTAAAATAATATTGATAACCTCTATTATTAAAGAAGGCTTATAAAATTGGTTTTATCTGAAAAGATGTGAATAGATATAATTATATCAATACGATTGATGTTATTTTATTATCTGCAACTATTTTGTTTAATGAAGCTCGGAGTGGGCAATTTTTTTATTTTTTTGCCTCCAGCTGCTGTTCCAAAGACTTTATAGTCCCTTTAAATTCTCTCAGTTGACTCTTTACTTTGTCATGTTCATACAATGAAACATGATTGTCGTTGTTTTTTTCCTGCGCAAAGATCGCAAAAAAATTAGTACTCATCACATTTTATAACTAATAATTGAAGAATTTTTTTGTATACCACATGTAATGTAAATTTTTTATAAAAAAGACTAGCAATATTTTCGAAAGAGATCAAATATCAATAGTTATTACACTTGAATACAATGTGGGTGAGTAAATTCGTATTCTTTGTACTTGACATCATTGGTCAACTGCATTCCGAAATTTTGATGTTCACAACTTGACACATTATATTTCTTATAGTGAAACATACTATGTTATGATACGATTTAGTTAAAACTTATAAGATATATTTCTAGATCTCGATTCAACTAAATTTTAGAAATAAAAATATTAATTTTTCATTTATTTTTACAGAAATTCATAAAATGTATCGTTTATAATTCGTCAGAAATTGGAGAATGAAAATAGATAATTGTTGTTGCCGAATCAGTATGAAACAAAAATTAAGTTAATTTGAATTTCATCAAAAACGATTTTAATTACATAGATATTGTTGGTGTTAGCTTCTGTTCATTGCAATAGCAGTTAGCTAACGAAAGATGTGTTGATATGCAAATGGTACAAATGTACCTAATATAGAAATAATTAATTGATTTTTGTACAAGTTAAAAAAATTGATGTAATCTAATAAAGACAAATCGTTATCAATTGAGAGTGCATCAAGTTAATCGAATATTATATTTACATGTAAATGGTTAAAAAAAATTGTATTCTTGTATTTAAGCTTTTATTATTAATGAAAAATAGAAATTTCAGTTTGATACAGTTCCAAATATATAAGCCAATCATTCATAGCAAGTATATTGATGCAGCTGTTGAGAAAATCTCAACTTGTGAATTAACCTAACCGTTTAAGGATAGGAATAATTGTGCCGGAACAGAGCAAACGGAAGTCAGGTTTTATAAAAAATAAAGTATCTTTATTTTCAGCACTAACTGGTACACAAAGAACACTGGAAGACTTTTTGTTACTGAATGAGAAGACTGAGTGTCGATAGAAATCACTGAATGTCAATTTTTGATTTACTGAATTTTCATTGAATGTCTGAGAGAGGCTTAACTTGGTGTGTTTGGTATTATTGACCTCCCACACGAGCTCAACACGCTTCACAAGTCAAGAATATGTGATTGTGCACGTGGCGTTAGCCTATCAATGCAATGCAAGAATGAATTGAATTAAAATACTCGAATTTACTTTGAATTGTCTTGAAATATTTCTCGAGTTGACTCCAGAATGAACTGGCGAATGTTTCTGATGATTTTAATAGCACTAGCACTAATGATTAACTCAAAACTTAATTGATTTGTTAGGAAGGAATGTGAATAGCGTGTCCACGTGAACGAGAATAGTAAAAGTATGGCGACAGGAACTTCATTAGTCAAAAGAGACACTGAAAATTAGTCAAATGAGTGACTAGATTAAGAAATATTGATTATTTGGTCGATTGGTTATCGATCCAGTCCCAAGATGGCCGCTGAAGTTCCTGTTAGCTGGCAAATTCAAACTAAGAATTAATTAATTCTTAACAGTAGCAAAAATTTGAAAATCGTATTAATGTATTAAATAGTGTGGATATCACATAGATGCAGATGTTTTCGTTGAAATGATATTATTTATGATTGGATATAATCCTTAACAGTTATGCATTGTTTACAAAAATTTGAATTTATGATAAACGATTGAAAATTTATTATCGATCGAATAATGTGTATATCACATGGATTCGGGTGTTTCATGATAATTATTAATTACTAACCCATTAAAAATTTATATCGTGTACATTCATAAAACCTTACCTATAAATACCTTTATTGAACAAAAATAAATTAATAAATTTTTTAAGCACTAACAGTGCATTTTATTTTACGCAAAGACAATAAAATAAAATAAGGATTTACTAATGTTATTTTTTAAATAATTAGCATGTAATTATTGAATTCGGACATTTAGATATGTATTTAAAATTTTTCATTTATGATCTAATTTCAACCGTACTCATAGGCTTTTTTAAGCAAAATTTTCTCTTTGGAATAACACGACATACATATACGCGCATATATATTTATATTTCATTTTTAAGTTTAATATTAATCAATAATGTTAATCTAATCGTAACTATGTAGTAAATATCATAAATTTCATGATGTTACAAGTTTTTTGACATTTTGAACTGCCGGAAGTATTAGAATACGATAAAATACGAAAAAAAAACTATTAAACCGAGGATAATAGTGCTTCATGAAATTTACTGGTGAATAATTGTATACTGTCTATATAAAGTTTAAATATACGTTATTTAAAAATATAAATTGAGTGATAATTACACAACACTTATTAGTATTTTGTTACGTCTTAGTAACCGAATAGTCTCTTTTTCGAGTCAAGACCCAATCGTCCTCTACTCACCATGGGTGCGGAGACCACGCAGAATATACTTTAGATGGAGAATTAAAGAAATAGGAAAGGTTCTTTCTTAGTGCTTTACAAATCACACTGGTGCATTTATTTTCCTCAAAAAAAGATAGAGATTTGTTTTTATGATAGTCAATCCTTTATTTAATTTCTTTAATCTTTTTACTCACTAAATTGTTTTACAGCTTGGCTAACAGGTAGCTAGGTAGCAGAAGGTTGTATACGCATGGAAGTCTGCAATTACTTGGTTTAGTTGACGCTTCGATTCTCGGCTCTCGGCGTTGATGCGGCGTCTTTCGGCGTTGTTGAGATGATTTTATGGCTGATTTACACCGTGCCCAGTAAAAATTTAGAAGAGAGTGTCTCTTGTGTCCAAGTCCGTGCTTTTTAAGGTGCTTTTCGTGCATCCCTTGGAAGCTTCTAGATTGGCGTTCTCCAATCCAAAGTTTTAATTAATTTAATTATTTAGGCCTAGCCCTAATTTCCTCCAATCATCCACGCAATTTTTCTCTTCTCCTTTTGATTAGTGTCCTGCGCATCTTTTGGCTCTAGTGCCCCCCACGCAGAATTCACCTGTGCTTACTTAGCATGCGTCTCGGAGCTCTATGTCCCCCACATGGTTTTTACCCGAGCTGCTGACACTTCTATTCCTTTGCTTCCACCGTTTTATTGTTAAAGTTTTTTAAAAAAAAAAAAATACTCAGATTCAGGTTATAACAATTTACAGAAAGTAATTACTCTTTTAAAAAATATATATTTATTATTACAAAATAATAATTTTCTCTTATTTTGAAAAATGAAATTGAATGTTCTGATGAAAAAAATTATTTAAAAAAAATTTTAATCCGTTTATAAAACCTCTGCTTCTCAATAGAGGTTTAGACTAAGTACTGAATATTATTATAGTAACATAAAAAATTAAAGTATTGTATTTTAATCACATAGGATTCTGAAAAATCCTCCTTCTTACTAGATTTATTTCAATTTGCATAAATTTAATGTCTAGTCCAGTTCAAAGTCCTTGTGACTGTTTTCACAGCTGAATTTAAATAATAACGTTGTCATATTCAATTAAAACATACTAAGCTCTACGAACTTTTAATTAACAGGTATATTTTATTGGGTTTCTCTTTATGATGTGATATTTTCTTAACGAAAATTGTTTAATAATCAACAAAGAACAAGGAAAGTTACATAACAGAAAGCTTTGAAAAAATCAAACTAGTCTATTATGATCATCATGGTTATTCAATCTCAATAGAGAAGCTGTTGACTTTGTATTAAACTTCCAAATAAGTTTTCGTTTTCAATATAAAAAATATTATTGATGCAATACTTTATGAACTGATTTTAAAAAACTTGTATGTGTGACGTCCGTCTGTTTTTATTAATTTTGAGAAGTAATTGATAATTATTTCTCCACATTAAATTGTTTTAGTAATTATTCTCTCATTATTGAAATATTTCTTGTGTTTGAAATATTATCAATAATTTATGACCATGTTAATTTTAATTTAATGAAGTATTCTATAAAAATTATGAAAGAAGCAATAAAACAATTAATGTTATTTCGAAAAGTTTTACCAATAAGTAATAAATCATCTGGTGAGTCTTTTCTTTTTTCCAGGTGCTTGCATTAAGAGAATTCCAGAATTTTGTGAATTGTTTGGAGTAGTTTACTCATGCTGGTGATCAGGGAGAGAAATTTCTGGTGTGGAAACTCTATGAAAATCTGATCCCGAAATTCCCAACATTGGTTAACCTACCAGAGTCTTCTGGGCTATCCCGCTAAACTATAAAAGGAAGTCTACTGAGTTCATCACTCGTGTGAGAAACGTGTAGCAAGAGGAAACCAAAGAGCAATAACTTCTAGTGCAAGTTACGTAGTGTATCAATCATATAAAAGTCTTAATAATCATTTCAAGTGTTCAAAACTATTGAAGTTCCTTGTCATTGCTTAAGTTCTAGTAAATTCTTTGTTGATCTAAGCGTTGTGTTTTATACGAGGTTATTATCTTTAGTTCTTGGTCAACCACCTAAGAAAACAGCAAGACTATGCATTAGAACAAGTAGATCTCATTTAAATCAATTTGTGGTTCCACAAGGGCCAAGAGTAACCGCTGTTAGCTTAAGTTCAATGAAGTGGTTTTCGACTAAAATTATATTTATCAATCTTAAGTAGAAAAATAAAAACTGTGTTTCATAAATTCGTTATTGTTTCAGTGAATTTAAACGTTCATCATCTCTAGTTCTGAACATCATCTGTATCTTATATACATGCAATAGATATTAAAATTTTGTAGCAATAAAAATAAATTGATAATCGATGCTTATTGTAACACCTTTTAAATGACTCTAAAGAAATTGTACCGTTTCAATACATATCAGTAGAAACAATTAGGAAGGTAATTACGCCCGGTGACGTCGGTGCGTAGCGAGTAAAATACCTTCAGGCTAAAGTGTCATCAATATGGAAGGGATAGTGTGCTCCCTAAAGTATTAGTTCTCACAAATAAAAATTAATAAGTTAAAAATCACAAAGCTAATTGGTTTTGACTTTTCCTATTTTCGGAAAAGTCAATGCCTTCTTCAAATAGTATTTGTATCACTGTAAAAACTCAATAGTTAGTTGCGAAGTCGTGTTTGAATCAAACGAACGTGAATCAGTGTTTAAATTGTGGTTTCTGTCTTAAATCAATTGACTATTGGGTTCCTTATCTCTAATTGCACATTCTGTAGATTTACTTGCTGTTAATTTAAGGTATTATAATTTTATTCAAAAATGTTTATTTTGTTGTATTGAAACTGCTTTTTAATATACGACTTTAAAAAGTCACTTTAAAATTTGATCACTAATTTTCAGTATCCCGTTTGACTAATGAAGTTCCAGTCGCCATTCTTTTCCTGTTCTCATTCACGTGTACACGAATTCTTCTCCCATAATTCTTTATTTCCTGAGTCAATCATTAGTACTAATGCGACTCAAATTCAACAGAAACATTCACACTTTCATATTAGAACAGAATCAAATCATATTTTTGGACAAGTCGTGCTACAGTCACATAAGAAAATCAGAATTCATTCTTGCATTGCATTGATAGGCTAACGCCACGTGCACAATCACATATTCTTGACTTGTGAAGCGTGTTGAGCTCGTGTGGGAGGTCAATAAAACCAAACACACCAAGTTAAGCCTCTCTCAGACATTCAATGAAAATTCAGTAAATCAAAAATTGACATTCAGTGATTTCTATCAACACTCAGTCTTCTCATTCAGTAACAAAAGTCTTCCAGTGTTCTTTGTGTATTGTTGGTGCTAAAAATAAAGATATTATATTTTTATAAAACCTGACTTCATAATTTCTCTGTTTAGTTTAGTCTAGTTTAGTATTATACTCTTTACTCTCCCACTTAGTAAAACTAATCTATACTTTATACTCTTTACTACTTTACTCTTAGTTTAGTATTTTACTTTTAGTTTACCATACACAAAAAAAAATTTGTCATGAAAAATACTCACAGCAGCAATATTTTGACATTGTAAGTCTTTCTGTAACTCATCTACGATATTTTTCTTTAACATTATCATCGCTTTTTTTCCAGGAAAATTTGATGGCGGTTCTTTTGAATTTTTTCTCTAAAACATAATGTAAATGATCTATTTACATGTAAGTAAAAATTATATTCATGAATACTTTCACAACAAAAAAAAGAACTGAATTAAATAAAAACCGAAGAATTTACCTTCAACGATGCAGCCATCAAAATTTCTATTTTCTTTTCACTATTATCATTAGCAGAAGCCATTTTACTGGCTTTTTAAGCTTCTGATGACGGTGTGCTAGTAAATTTATTTTTCCCTTCTGACATCGAAGCAGTTTTATTTTTCTTTTTTGCTTCGGACGTTGAAGCAATTTTAGATTTTTTTTTTATTCCTAATGAAGTAAGAATATTATTACTACAATCTTAAGTCAATGAGTCAGCTTCAGATTCACTAAGTTCTGATGCACTTCGTTCATAACTCCTTGATGGCACTGGTACTCTTTTCGTATTGATTGTTCTTTCAATCTCTTCTTTACTGTCTGAAAAAAAAATTTCATTAATTATCACGAATTGTTACATCAAAAATCTGCATAACTTCACAATAGGTTAATTGCAAATAATTTCTATTGGTTTCATCATACCTTTCATAAATAATATAATGCCTTTCACAGTAACCCCGTCAATAATCATATAATATTATTTTCGTTTGTCATAATTGCCAGGGTTGAATTTCAATATATCTTTAACACGTACTACACGTTTTTCTTTATTGTTCAAACTTACGTTTGCCCATTTCTCGCTGTTGGTAGCCATGGTAAAGCGACAATAACGTAATGTAATCAACAGCACGTGCACACTTTCATTATGGATGACTTTCCGTTCGCGTCGTCGTGAAGTAAGAAGAAGAAGAGCGGAACTTATTGGAAAAATGTTATGATTGGCTGTAATTATACTTGAACGCTCTCATGCGGCTTTTAAGCGAACATTATTTCTTAGCGGCCACTTCAATTCGAAATCTCAATAGTAATATATTGAAGTGTGTTTGGCGTGAACTTGGCGGGATTCACGCAAAAATGTTTGAAGACCGTATAAATGTATTATAATGTTATGATATTATATTATAATAATTCAACTATGTTCGAGTGAGAGTGTCAGAAGAAATATGGAGGAGAGAAGGCGAAGCGCGGGAAGTATGTTTAGTGCGTTATGCTTTATTCTGGAGGTAGTTTCTGATGTGGGATCCAGGGAATAAGAGGAGAGGAGGGTATGCTATGAATATGCTCAATTATCGGACTTTTTAGGTGTATCAGGAACTAATGGGACACTCAGACTTTGTGTGTTCACGCCACTTATTTCAGGTTAGGTTAGGTAAAGGTTCTTATGTTACCAGGGATTCGAAATGGTGTCTCTAACTTGGAAAATATGTTATGACCTTGAACTGTGTATAGGACTGCAGAAGTAAGTGTGTGTATTCTCACTTACCTTTATGTAGACTTGATAATACTGCTAGGTGACAATGACATAGACGAAGCAGAATGCAAGAGATAAACGAAACAAATCAACTGAGAGAGAATTCTACGACCACCGACGTGCCAAAGCAAGGACGAGATTATACGAATTTGATGTGGACCTTCCGTTTGTCTGAAAGCAAGAGACAATCTCCTATGGGACTCCTCCAATCCCTGTAAAGCATGCAAATGGAGATACGCGTAGGGTACACCGAAATAATTTCCTCCACACGTGATATGATATAGAAAAACTTTATTACAAAGACAATTCCAATTTTACACGGTGGGATATCTCCCCGCGTCCTAAAGCGAGCTATAACGTATCCTATTATGCCTACAAAGATGGAGTTATTGGTGACAGAGAAGAATTGACCCGGGTACGGAACGGCAAAGTTACATTTATAATTTTCTCTTTGTAATGCTCGAGGTCAACAATTAATATAATCGAATTACAATAATTTAGGCTCGAAAAGTCAGCGTTGCAATTCTGTTTCCACGTAGCCTGCCTCGCCGTGTGCCCCTGAATAAACGAATTCAGAATACGAGCTCACCGTGATGCGGACTTACCTTCCTGGAGAAAATGTACTTTCCCTTTTCCAGGACTGCAGTGCTGGACTTATGGCGTGTCAGGAGGAGCTGTGGACCCGACGTAGAACTCTTCCGGCGTTTCTTCTTGTTTGAACGTGGGTTCTGGTCCCCCTCAAGTTCTTGAACTTCTTGTAGATGCTGGAACTACTCCACCTAGGCCCGTTTTCCGGTTCCTGGACTTGTTTTCAGCGTACTTAGTTGGACTTAGATTTGCTCTAACAGAGCGTCATACGGTCATGTCTTTCTTCAGTAACGGCGGAAGCCTAACTGGCAAAATTTTCTCAGCTCGGCGTGCTCACAGTCTCGCTTGGCGGGACCCCTTTCCACAGGGAAGCTCCGCCCACTCCACTCTCGCAGCGCAGTCTTGGCTGAAGCAGAGAAGAGAGACCAGTATAGAAGTCCAATGCTGTGTTAAAAATCCGGACGAAGTTTCGGTCAACATGTCGGTATTTTGGGTCAACATGTCGGTAATCTCAGGTCACAATATGAAAGTTTCTGTGAGCCCATCGAACGATGGCGCTGCAGCGGTTTATTTCAGCCACGCCCCTTAATCTAAGAGAGAAAGGAGATAAGATTTGTGTTCTCTTTTACTCTCATTACAAGAATCCTAAGCCAGTTTATTTTCAAGCACAAATTTTTAAATAGAAAAGGTCCAGCACTGTTCGCAACATATATAAAAGCTATCAAACCAGTTTGATATTCTTGTAACAGCTCAAAGGTAACACGCTCGACTACGGAAACGTAGGTTTTGTGATCAAGCCTTTCAATGTTATTTTTTTTTTTTTTTTATTTAATTAATTATAATAATGAATTTTTTTAGGACAAATTTTATACGCGATCACACTAAAGGAGAGTAAAAAATGATGTACGACCGAAGGAATTTTTTTGTAACAAATAACGATGTTTATAAGGAAAAAAAAGAGACTTCAATTATGCATGATGATAATGAGTCAAAGGCTTCGATAATGATATTTATAATGTTAATAATATATTTTAAAAAAAATAATATTTAATAATATAACAAAATTTTTTTAAAGAATATACTTTTTTAAAGAATATTGGGACTGCTCGAAAGGCCTGGAACTTGGTACTTGAAGAGAGTTTTTTAAAAAATTTTCTTGGGCAATAAAACCTCTATTGCCCCAACATCCTTAATCTCACAAACAGTAGTAGGGATTTTTCGAAGTCCTATCTATCACAGTAGATAGAAATGAGACAAATAACAAAATAGTCTTCCCTCTGTGTTCCGTAGGGCAAGCCCACCCTACTTAAGACTTCAAATATTTACTTTACCTTCCATTCCAGTAAATAGGACGATAGCTCAGGCGTAAATTCTCTGTCTACGAATCTTTTGGTGACTGGTTCGAATCTTGCCAGTTGCTTTTTTTTTTTGTTTATTAATTAAATAAAATTTATTACATTTTTTTTGTAGCAATACTAGTACCCTTTTTCTTTTCTGGGTAATGGATAAAAATCCCAAATTTTTTAAATTATTTTTTACTTAGTTTTAATAACAACAATGGACAACTCATAAATATATGACCGAAAGACATGATGAAATATCTACATAAGGCTTGTACTAAGTAATACCAGAATTAAAAAATATAGTATATTGTTATTTGTCTCATTTCTATCTACTCAGTAGATTCTACTTACTGTGATAGATAGATATATATATTTGGCCTTAATGGTTTAATAATAAATAATTTTTACACGTGCGTTTTATCAGTGTATTTTCAGATAATTAACTTAAGTATTCTAAACTGTTGTTAATTGATATAATATATTTATAGCACACTTTTGGTAAAAATTATGTTGATTAAAATAACTTTATCAGAGTTGTCGAATCCCAGATTGAATATTCGGATTGAAACCAATACAATTCAACTCAATCCAATAGACTTCGAATTAGATTTAATAGGGTTAATTGGAAACTAAAAATTCGACCGATTGGAAATAATTGGAATGTATTAGATTCAATTGGGAACATGTTTTTACAGGATTCTATAGGGCATTTCGATTCAATTTCAATTTAAAATGTGAAGGATTTAATTAGAAGAAAAAATTTAGACAAAAAAATGACACTGACAATATTTCTATTAGAATCTTCAAAAAATTCCAATAAAGTAACGATAGGAAATGAATAGGTTGTAACTGGAAAAAAAGACTTAGAATGAGGAGAATAATTGGAATTCACTGTAGGTCAACCTACAGTTCCCAATTGGACCCTATAAGAATCCCTATTGGTTTTGACCGGAAGTAGATAGATTTCTTTCGGAAAACTGGACTTACAAAAAAAAATCGATATTTATCATTTCGTTATTATTATTGCCAATTCAAAATTTATTTTTTCTCTATATATAACCTTACAACTATATTTATAATAATTATATATAATATAATATATAATATTATAATAATTATAAATAATATTCATAATAAAAATATAATAATAACTACGTTATTATTATAAATATGTATTTTTTTTCGTTATACCCGCGTGGAAAGTTCACATGTCCCTCGTTAATTTGAATTTTATGCTTTACCATTAATCAATAATTTATACATTGCAGGTCAACAATGTCGAGAAGTAATGTCAGATAACGATGGTAGAACAATGAAGCTGTTGACAACATCGAGGATGAGTACACGGTGCACTTCTCAGATTCTTATGAACCGCAAAATTTCGATTCTATGACGGATTGTAAGAAATGTATAAATTATAACTTAGAAGTTGAGCAATCTATGGATTTGGAATCTGATAAAGCCTATGAACATAGTTAAGATGAAGAATCTCCACAGTCAATTGATGATAAAGGAGATGAGACAAATTTAAAACATTTGTTTAACACTATTATGTTTGATGCTTCTAACTTTTTGATATAGGAAGTATTATGTATGGTGATGACTATTACAGTAAAATATAATCTTTTGGATGAAGTTCAACAAATAATACTCATTTTGATACAAGTGTTGGCCGGTACGGCTTTTAAAAATTTGAATACTTCCAAGTATTTTATGAAGAAATATGATAATCCTTCAGAAAAAACTATTATTTATTCTTTTTATTGTTCATTATGAAATATATCAATACCTGAGTCACTTCCAAAATCAGATTTAAAGCATGTTAAAGCAGCAATATGTGATAGGTGTCGCAAAGAATATACAATAAGCTTGAAAGAAAGCAATTACTTTATGACAATTGATCTTTATGAAAATATTAACGACAAAATTTTTTAGAAAAAAAATCTGATAGAGATATGATAGACAATTATTTAAAAATTAAAAAAAAAATCGAGCTAGTAATGTTTTTTGCGATATACAAGATAGTGATAGATATATCAATGATAATTATATTCAATCCATGGGACAAAAAAAAATTCGTAACTTTAAATGTTAACACAGATGGATCACCTCAATTTGAAAGTGGGTGGCATAGTTTTTTGCCAATCGAATGTATCATCAATGACATTTGGAACGAGTTCCGATTTAAATATATATTTCTCGCAGCACTCTGGTACACAAAAACAGAACCAATTCCTGACTTCATGAACTTATATTTAGAAAACTTTGTATATCAAATACAAAATTTGATAAAGAATGGAATTCAGATTATGGTAAACGATGAATGTACTCACACTATCAATTTAGTCGCATATACAAAAGGTTAAAAAATTCTAATAAATATTAATTAAAATAATTTCATACTTTATCAATACACATTAACTCCTACCCCAACTGAGTCGATCAACTTATAATAATAAAG